TGAGAAAAGACTAATATCCAGAATATACAAAGAGCTTAAGCAAATCAACATGAAATAAATAATCCCACTAAAAAGTATGCAAAGGACATAAACAGACACTTCTCAAAAGAGGCCATACAAATGATATGAAAAAATGCAAACATTAAAAAATGCTCAACATCAATAATGTTCAACAATACTCAGAGAAATGTAAATTAAAACTATAATGAGATATCATCTCACATCAGTAGGAATGTCTGTTATTTAAAAATCAAAAAACAACAGATGTTGGCGAGAATGCAGAGAAAAGGGATGCTTCTACGCAGTTACTGGGAATATAAATTAGCTCAACCTTTATGAAAAATGGTAATGGAGATTTCTCAAATAACTAAAAGTACAACTATCATTCAGCCCAGCAATCCCACTACTGGGTATCTACCCAAAGGTAGATAAAAAACATTTTACCAAAAAGACACCTGCACTCCTACATTTAACACAACATTATTCACAATAGCAAAGTCATAGACTCAAGCTAAGTGTTCATCAGTGATTGACTGGACAAAAAAAAATGTAATACACATACACAATGGAATACTTTGCAACCATAAAAAAAAGGAGGAAAGCATGTCTTCTGCAGCACTGATGAAGCTAGAGACCATGATCCAAGCGAACTAACTCAGAAACAGAAAGCCAAATACCACATTTTCTCACTTATAAGTGGGAGCTAAACAATGGGTACACATGGACATAAAGATGGAAATAAGACAGTGGGGATTCCAAAAAAGGGGAGGGTGAGAGTGGGCCAAGGGTTGAAACACTATCTATTGGGTTTAATGTTTACTGTTTGTGTAACAGGTACACTAGAAGCCCAATCCCTACAAGTACACAATATACTCATGTAACAAATCTGCACATGTACTCCCTGAATTGAAAATAAAGCAAATTTAAAAATAAAATAGCACAAAGAATGTGGGGATAAAAGTATACAGTTGTAAAAATTTTACCCTGTTTATGATGTGGTATAACATTGCTTGAAGGTGTACTGTAATAAATTAAGAATGCACATTTTAAAATCTAGAGCAGCTGCAAAACAGTATAGCTATTGGATCAATAATGCAAACAAAATGAAAGATTAAAACAGATTCAATCTAAACAAAGACAGTAACTGAAGAAAAAAAAAAACAAAACAAAGAGCAAAGTCCACAAATAGGAAATAAATAGCTGATAGTAGACGTAAACCCAAACATACTGAAAATTATATTAAATATAAAGGATCTTAATTGCCAATTAAAATACAAAGATTGCAAAAATGATTTAAATTGTCATATGGATTTTTATGATGACACTATGTCTTGGAATATGGCATGACTTTTTAATTTATTGATTCAAGTCTTTTGGTTCTGAAAACATTACTTAAACTGTATTTTTTAATCTATTCAGTTCTGTTCTTCAAAGTAATTATGAGTAATTGAAATGTTCTTTGTCTCTCTTCCTTACCTATAAATTTCTCTCTAATCTTGTCTTATTTCCTATAGCTGCTGTAATAAGTTACCAGAAATGTAAAGGCTGAAAACAACATCGACTTATTATCTTGTAGTTCTAGAGATGAGAAGTCTGAAGTGGTTTTCACTGAGCTGCAACCAAAGCGTGGGTGGGACTGTGCTCCCTCCAGAAACTCTGGGAAATAATCCATTTATTTGCCTTTTTCAGCTTCTAGACCTGCATTCCCAACACTCCTTGGCTCACAGCTTCCTCCGTCTTCAAAGTCAACAGGATATCATCTTTAAATCTATCTCTGCTTTGTCACTACATCACTTTCTCCTTTTCTGTCTCTGCCTTCAAATATCTCTCTGCTCTCCTCTTATAAGAACATTTATGGTTACATTTAGAAATCACCAGGATAATTTCCCATCTCAAATTTCCTAATTTAATCACATCTGCAAAGTCACCCTTACTACAAAAAGTAACATTCACAGGTTCCAAAGATTAGGAGTTGCATAACATTGAGGGTTTTTATTCAATGTTCACTGACATTTCAATTTGCTTAATTCCCCCAATCTTACTGTTTTTTCAGAAGTTTTTATTCTTTTTTATTATTCATATTTGATCTTATTATTCATATTTGATCTTATTCATATTTGACCTTCATTTGGGAGATAATTTTATTTTTCTCACCAATTTCTCCTTAAGGTCTGAGCTCATGGATTTTTAAAATTGTTATATAATATTTAAGATCTCTTAAAACTAATGTTTTTAAAAAACTAATATGTTTATTTTAAAATATGTTTGCAAATTCTTTGAATGTCATCTCATCAGAAATTGGAACCTAATTTTCATTCCTCTGAATGTGGGTTACATTTTGTGACTCATTTCTTACAGATAGAATATGACATAATCAAGTAGAAATTTGTGGTTGAGGGGAAAAAAAGAATATGACAGAAGACATAGTATGTGACTTTTGAGACTATATCATTGTGCGATTTTACCTTGTGGCCTTTTCATCACTTGCCATAGGGGAAGCCAACCACCACATTGCCTGGACACTGTGGCAGCTCAAAAGGTGCCTACACAGGAAGAAATTAAAGCCTCTCGCTAATAGCTGGAACCAACTTTCTAGCCATTTGAGTGAGTAATTGTGAAAGCAGATCCTTCAGCCCCACTTAAATCTTTAGACAACTACAGTCCTAACATCTTGACTCCAACCTATTCATGAATTTCTGACCCACAGAAACTGTGAAGATAATCAATATTTATTGTTAAGTGACTAAACATTAAAGTAATTTGCTATGGAACAATAGGTACCTAATGCATAAACGTTACATATTATAAATTAAGAACCATTACCATAAAATATACCTCCATGAAATATCCAACTTAAAACCAGATGGTTGCATCTGAGGTGTTGACAATACTGTCTCTCTCTCACTCTGATTCATCTATTAACTGTTTTCTTTAAAATATGGCACATGTATAGAATCCCTCTTCTAGTTTCACCACATGTGATTTTCCTCTGTGCTAGTCCTAACCCAAGAAAGCATCTTCAGCAAACCCAATCACTCTGCTCCTCTTGCTTAAAACAAGAAATCGGTGTTTTCCCTTGGGTTATGGCACCAATTTTAGAGAATTGTGTTGTATTGATTTTTCTTTCCCCCCCACCTTTTTTTTTTAATGCTTTTACTCTTTGAAAGCCCAGCTTTTCAGAACTGTTACATGAGAGCCATGCTCTAAGGAATGTGTTAGCATCTAAATGTTTTAAGGCTTTGGCAATTTCATCTATATATTAAGGCAAATCATTAAAAGTTGCATTCCTGAACTACTACATTCTCTAGTTTCCTTTTGCCCACCCAGTCACTAACCACTAGCCATTTCTCCACAGATCTTTGCTTTCTCATTATTTCATTGACTTTCACTGAAGGCCATTAAAATAAACGATAAGTGGAAAAACACTTTTGCATTTCTTCTAAAGTTACTCCTGATTTTATTTTCTGTATTTACATATATTTTCTATAGGTTAATTACTCTCACCCCAAACATTTGTAATGATAAGTTTATCTTAGATTCAAGGCCAGGGAGGGAAAAATGGGTTTCTGATGAAATAGTATGTAGTCTTTAATAACAAAAATTATATATTTCAGAGTTTATAGAAGTGAGATTCATGTGCATATATTTAATGTCATCACTGATTTTAAGACAAGTAGAAAAGAAGATTTAGTAGTAGATGTACTAGAAAAATAAGATGGAAGAATTGAGTCTTCATAGGAGAGCAATTAGTAAAAGATTCATGCTGTTAACAAAAATTATGTTTTTTCAGAATATAGTTATTTATAAGAGTGTATAGGCCTTTTCTTGATTAATTATTGTTGTAATAAGGAAGATAAAAAACTAGTTCCAAATCTGTACATCATACTTCTGGCTCCTCCCATTTAAAATTCTCAAATCGAAATGCACAACAGTAGCCCTAGGTAATGGTGTAATCTACACAATTTTGGTAAGTCTTTTTACTTACTGCCTTTTCAACTTACACCCCATTTTGGGCAGGGGAAAGAAGGAAAAAAAGCTACAGAAAGAGATAGGTGTATGAGCATGCCAAACCCAGAAGAATCTGTGCCATAGTAGTCAGTAATACAATTGTGTTGTAATCAGCCATTTAATGTCAGTAAGCATCCAAATGTACTTCTTTTTCTGTTTGAATTGCACTTAATTTATACATTTCTTTTTCCTTTTTAAATTTCCAAATTTAAAGTTCAGAAGTACATGTACAGTATGCACAGGTTTGCTACCTAGGTAAACGTGTCAAGGTGGTTTGCTGCACAGATCATCCCATCACCAGGTATTAAGCCCAGCATCCATCAGCTATTCTTCCTGATCCTCTCCCTCCTTTCAACCCCTGGCCCTTCAACTGACCCCACTGTTCCCCATTGTGTAACCATGTGTTCTCATCATTAAGCTCCCACTTATATCTGAGAACATGAAGTATTTGGTTTTCTGTTCCTGAGTAAATTTGCCTCCAACTCCATCTATGTCCCTGCAAACATGATCTCATTCCTTTTTATGACTGCATAGTAGTATTCCATGGCTTATATGTACCACATTTTCCTTATCCAGTCTATCATTGATGGGCATTTGGTTGATTCCATATCTTTGCTATTGTGAATAGTGCTGCAGTGAACATACATGTGCATGTATCTTGATAAGAGAACAATTTATATTCCCTTGGGTATATACCCAGTAATGAGATTGCTGGGTCAAATGGCATTTCTGTGTCTAGGTCTGTATTAGTCTGTTCTCATGCTGCTAATAAAGATATTCCCAAGACTAGATAATTTATAAAGGAAAAAGGTTTAATGGACTCAGTTCCATATGGCTAGGGAGGCCTCACAGTTATGGCAGAAGACGGAGGAGAAGCAAAGCCATGTCTTATATGATGGCAGGCAAGACAGCTTGTGCAAGGGAACGCCCATTAAACTGAAACTATGTTGGCCATAGAACACCCACACCACAGCTGGTCTTCCCTGGACACCATGAACCACACCGTCCAAGCCTTCTTCATTCCCACCAACACCGACGGTCCCCCCAACTATAGGTTTATCAAGGAAGAGCATGAAATGGTTGCTCTGGGGACACCCCATAACCTTCTTCCCCCAACATCCACCGTGATCCACATCCGCAGCAAGACCTCCGTGCCCGACCATGTCGTCTGGTCCCTGTTCAACACCCTCTTGATGAACTCCTGCTGCCTAGGCTTCATAGCGTTCGCCTACTCTGTGAAGTCTAGGGACAGGAAGATGGTTAGCAATCTGACTGTGGCCCAGGCTTATGCCTCCACCACCAAGTGGCTGAATGTCTGGGCCCTGATTTGGGGCATCATCATGACCATTCTTCTTATCATCATCCCAGTATTGATCTTGCAAGTCTATCAATAGATCAAGAGGAATCATCCCAGCCAGAAGCTCTGCCTGTGACCTGTTTCCCACGTACTCCGCCTTCCATTCCTCACCCTGCCCCAAGCCAATTTCTGTCTCTGCCCTTTATCCTCACACACTTTTCTACAATGGCGTTCAATAAAGTGCATGTGTTCCTGGTAAAAAAAAAAAAAAAAAAAAAAAAAAAGAAGAAGAAGAAGAAAGAAAGAAAGGACCTGGCTCTGTCACTCAGGCTAGAGTGCAATGGCACCATTTCAGCTCCCTGAAACTTCCACTTCCTGGGTTCAAGTCATCTCCCAACCCTAGCCTTCCAAGTAGCTGGGATTACAGGTGAGCACTACCACATCTGGCTAATTTTTGTATTTTCTGTACAGATAGATAGGGGTTTGCTATATTAACCAGGTTGGTCTCAAACTTTTAGCTCAAGTGATCCCCCAGCCTTGTCCTCCCAAATTGCTTGGATTACAGGTACAAGCCACTACACCCAGCCTTCAAGTAGAACTTTCTACAATGCTGAAAATGTTCTATATCTGCACCATCCAATATGGTAGCCACTAATCACGTGTCTACTGAGCACTTGAAGTATCACTACTGTGCCTGAGGAACTGAATTTGTTTTTCATTTTGGAGACAGAGTGTCCCTGTGTCACCCGGGCTGGAATGCAGTGGCACAATCTCGGCTCACTGCAACCTCCACCTCTCAAGGTCAAGAGATTCTCCTGCCTCAGCCTCCCTACTGGCTGGGACTACAGGCATGTGTCACCATGCTCTGCTCATTTTTGTGTTTTTAGTAGAGATGGGTTTTCACCATGCTGGCCAGGCTGGTCTCAAACTCTTGACCTCATGATCTGCCCTCCTGGGCTTCCCAAAGTGCTCAGATTATAGGCATGAGCCACCATGCCCAGCCCTGAAGTTTTAATTGTATTTATTTTTAATTAATTTAAATCTAAATAGCAATACATAACTGGTGGCTACACTATTGAACTACACAGCTATAACATTAAAATAATCCCTTTTGCACTTAAGTGATTTTTGTCCTTCCCATAAGATGTAAACTTTTTGTGAAATTTTTGTATTTTGCATAATGCCTCAAGCACACCAAGGCAAGTTCATAAAAGTTTAAATAAAAACTTAGATTGTATATCTTTGTTCATGAAAGACTGTAAAACCATCAATCATCTTGACTTATTTTATTCTTAATGCAAATCAATACATCAATATGAGTTTCTTCATCTATAAGGTCCAGATATGATCCGATAGATACTTTGTCTCACAAATATTTGTTAAAAATTGACACAATATTTTATTACCATACTGGAGACATAGGAAAAGAATAGGAGTATACAGATAGTAGCATTATCACATTATGACCTCTCTTACATAGTTTGAGTAATGAGTTAGTTAATGTCCATAATATTAAACAATTTAATAAAACTTTTGGAGATGGCTAAATTAAATGGTTTAATGGCATAGTGTTGAGTTTAGAGTTAAGCAATTGAATAAAACTATAAGGAGCATCTGTCATTGAGCCAGATTTAAGCAACATCTGATGCACATTTATAGAATAATAGCCTTGATGATAAGCTAATTTGAGAAAAGTAGGTCCAGCTGTATATTCATTAGAACGAAGGAACATGCTCTCTCTATAACATAAAGCAACACACAAGAGAGGCAATCTAGTAAAATATCCATTAGCTTAAGGGTAGTATGATTCCAAAAGCAGTCTTAGCTCCATTCCTGACTAAGCAAGCTCATATCCGTTCCTTTATTTATGTGCTGGTGCCTCAGGAAAATAGAGCGGAACAATACCTTTACATTTGCCTTGCATATTTGATGAATAGATTGTGAGTATAAACGTACTGATATGGAGACTGGGGATAAGGTGTGTTGCACATTTCGGAAGATGCATTACTTCAATTTATCGAGACAAGACCTTGGGAATCTTTCTAATTATATACTCTATTTCCAAAAGACAATATGTTATCATTAAAGATAATGTTATATTTAAGCAGTTCCAACTTATTTGCACTTACTGACATTAATAAATGCTGGTCAAATTATTTTAATACCTTAGCAATTTCATAAGATGCTTTCAACTGCAGGACTTAAATTGTTTACAAATCTGTGGTGAGGTGCTCGTTATTCTTCATTCTATTCTATGGCAGGACACCATGTGTATATCACAAAGAAAATGGGCTTTATGCACCACGCAAACTTGAGATTGAGCCTCAACTCTTACAACACATAATTTTTTACTTAGTAATACTACTTATTCATGTGTTTTCTCATCTATAAAGTGGAGATTGTAAAATTCACCTGTGTGGTGTGAAGGATTAACTGAAAAACATATACATATTCAGTACCTGGCATGACGTAGATGTTTACCAATATCTTCTTCATTATTAATTCTGAAATCATGTATTGCTTTTTTCTCCCTTTTGTCCCTAGGTCTGCAAGCCTAATCCCCTTTCTATACCATAATCTCATTTTATGAGTCTATAAAAACAGAATGATTGAAAATTTACAAGAAAGCTTGAAGAGAGAACATTTCAATCACTTTCATGTTCATCGTTGGACTGTAATCATGGAATTGAAAATGATAGCCCAGGGGCTAAATTCAACCTGAAGACTGTATCTTAATGCCCATAGTTAATGCTGGTAATATTAAACAATTTAATAAAACTTTTGGAGATAGCTAAATTAAATGGTTTACGAGCTGAGCATGGTCCATGTGCTAAGAATAGGTTACCATGGAGAAGAAGGAAGAAAGGAAAAAAAAAAAAAACGAGGAAAAACATGGGGAGGAGGAATAGGAAGAAAAGAAGGAATACGAATATGTGAGACTCTATATCCTCCAAAAAAGCCTAAAATATTTACTTTCAGACCCTTTAAAGAAGAAGCTTGTCAACTTCTGGAGCACATCCTGAAGTCTTTGTGATTGGATGCCTCCTCTTGTTATACAGCATTGAGAATTCAGCATAATTATCTATAAGCAAATAATAAAAACCTAGACTTGTACATAACTGTTTATTAACAATAAATAAATCAAAGGAAGGTTAAAAATATAACAAATATGTGATTGTTTTTATATATTAGTAAAAATAATTTTTAGTTACCTAGAGTCTAAGTTAAAATTAAATTTATTTGAAATGTTGCATAAGTTACTGGAGGGCTTCCAACTTTGCAACCAAAAAGCTCACTGCATTACACGTTATTTGAATATTACAGTAAAGAAAGTTAACATGCTTAATTAAAGTGCCTGAACTGTGATATTAATAGTTATTTATTGAGCTGTTATTTCAGAGCTTTGGAGGAAATACCATTTATATCTTAAACAGGCAATAAAACTTCAGCATGAAAGTCAAACTTCCAACTACCTCTGACTCTAGCAGAAATTTAACTTTCTTGACAAACCCAATTTATTTTTATATATCCAGGCATATGGAAATGAACCCAGGACTGTATTAGTCAAAATTATCAAACTGTGAGCAAGAAATTTAATAAAAATTAGAAATAGAATTCACAATATTGGTGGTCTTGAGTTCTGATGTTCACTATGAGAATATACGGAGGCTGACTATTCAGTCCACAGCCCATTTTCTGGGAAATGACTCACCACACACAAGTGTGAAGCCCCTATGGCCCTATGTGTCCCATATAATCCTAACAGCCTGGCCATAGCTCATTTAAATTGAGTCAATCAAATCTTCCTTCTAGAATTGGATTTTATGTGCATTAATCAGTCTCTTAGCTTAAACTCCTGTGGAACTGAAGGAGGGCCACTTTCAGCACATGCATAGAGAAGCAGAAAGGAAAAAACAATGCCAAACGAGGAAAAATTCAGAAGGTTCAGATGTCAGGATAGACCATGGAATCTGGTATATACAAAGGTCTGCATCACTGCCTGGCCCCCTAATGGCTTTTCTGTTTATTTCTCATCCCTCATGAAAGCCAGTGATTTTCCTGCTCCCTGCTTGTGTAAAATACTCTGGATCCATATGTGGTAAAATATGTTTGCTCCACAACATGACTCCCTAGAGTTTCTGATTCATAGGTTGAGGTGTGACCTGATCATTTGTATTTCTCAAAGTTTACAAATGATTCTGATATGTGGAGAGGGCACCAAACTTGAGAATCACTACCCTAAGGTCATGTACGTGTCTTGGATTGGAGTTGTGGGGATAAGGTGATTACATAGTTCTACAAATTAGGGGGGGAAATGACTTCTTGTCTTCAGTTCTAGATAATTCTAGTTCAGTGATATTGTCCTCTAGTTCTATAAGCAAATAATTTTCCCATCATCTAAGTACCCCTTTGTTAGACTAGTTAATTTTCCAATCATCTAAGTACCCCTTTGTAGACTACTGTTTCCATTCTGTCTGTGGTAACATGGGACTCCAGGCACGATGTGTCCCAAGCCATGACTTTCTGTAGTACCACAATCCACTCAGCCTCATGGAAGAACTATCCCTTCCAAGAATTCTGAGAATTGGGGGAGTAAGATGCTGGTCCCTATTTTTACACCCAAAATGTCATCCAACATCTGTGACACCCAAATGCAAAGCCTCTAATATTTTCTTTCTCAGCGTGAATCACTTTCATTAGAATCTTTCCCAGTTTAAAACAATCAATTTACATCACCTTGATAAGCCTAGCTTTTTAAAAACAAAGCTTCTGGCTCAATGAAATAAGAGAGGACACAAACAGATAGAGAAACATTCCATGTTCATGGTTAGGAAGAATCAATATCGTGAAAATGGCCATACTGCCCAAAGTAATTTACAGATTCAACGCTATTCCCATCAAGCTACCAATGACCTTCTTCACAGAACTGGAAAAAAACACCTTAAACTTCATATGGAACCAAAAGAGAGCCCTCATAGCCAAGTCAATTCTAAGCAAAAAGAACAAAGCAGGAGGCATCACACTACGAGACTTCAAACTATACTACAAAACTACAGTAATCAAAACAGCATGGTACTGGTACCAAAACAGAGATATAGACCAATGGAACAGAACAGAGGCCTCGGAGGAAACACAACATATCTACAACCATCTGATCTTTGACAAACCAGACAAAAACAAGCAATGGGGAAA